GGGATTTGGTTGGATTGTTTCCTTGGCTGTCTGTCAGTCTTTTCCACTGTGGTAGCAGGGTTGTGTCCAGCATACAGCTAAGGCCGAGCAGTTCAGCTGTCTATTCTAAGCAGTTTGACCTTTTATATCCTGCCATGTGTGAACCCAAACTGAAAGCACTTATTCTGAGGCAGTCTGTGAGAAACTTCTGTTTGCTGTGCAGCTTCATTGATTTTAATATTTAGAAGAAAATTATGGAAATGCAGATTTCTAGTGAGGGTTTTAATCTCAAGTATGAGAGAAGAAATTGGTTACTAAGGCAGCTAAAGTTCCCTAACTTAGCATATCACCTTTGAGAACTTTTATGTATATTTTACAACTGAGTTGATGTTTTATAGAAATAGAAGTAATTCTTCCTTTTCTCTTAAAAGGTTTCTAAAAGGATTTTTGAGAGAAAGATTTAATAAAAATTGTGTTAAGTTTAGGTCTAAGATCCCTTTTGTTGTCCCCTTTCCCAATTTTTGTCTTTTTATCTTTTTTATTTTCCTTAGAAAAGCAGAACAAGAAGGTACGTTTTGAATTATGGATATGAAGTATAACTGTCATGTTCTCCTGATTGTTTCTGGTTCAGATTGGGCCCAAATGGAAGGATGTGGTGACCAAGTGCATCAAGGGGCATTATCAGCCCTTGCTGCTGCTTTATGCAGATCCCCAGGGTACCCCAGTGTCTACCCAGGACCTGCTTCCCCAAGCCGAGTTCCATTCATACAGCAGGACATGCTACGATAGTGAAGATTCAGGTGAGCAGCCTAGCTCTTTACCTCTCCTTCCCCTATCCCATGTGATCAGACAGTTGGGACTCATCTTTAATTATGTACCTAACACGTAATCTAGGTTGGAGAAGCAGGATCCATTAGAGGTAAGAAAGAAGTGCCAACTTCTGCTGAAGCCTAACTTCCTTATGCCAGGCTTTTTTTTTTTTTCAGCCTTTAGGAGTGTGTGTCTAAATTACTTGGCCCTAAACTCAAAACTGAGAAAATTATGTTTTGATTGAGACATAAGTTTGTGAGGCTTAGTAGTTAGCTTTCTAATATTGGTAAAGATGACTGATTTTTTTATTAACAGTTTAACAGTGACTTAAGTGAGTTTTTAAGATAAGAAAAACTGAGTCACTTCAAAGGTAGTTATTTTGTTTAGAATAGAAGATTTTAAAAAAATTCCAAATGTAGTTGTGATGTTTATGAATCAGTTTTTCACATTTTAAGTCAATTGTTTGGAACATAAATAATATTTTCCTATAGAAACAATTTTCAGCTTGATGGCTGAACTCTCAGGCTCAGCCCACAGAGGCTTATAATATATTTGAATTATAATCTCTTAATAGTTTTGGCTTGATTACTTGAAAGGATGAAGAAGAAATGTTCTTTCACTCTTTCGGATCTAGGACTAGCCCTTAGTATAGTTTTGAAAGAGAAGATAATTCACTTTGAAATCTTTCTCCCTCCCCTTTATACTTTCCTGCTGCTTGGTATCATGGTACTTTTCTTCCTACTCTTATACCCCACCCAGACCTGCTCTACTTCTGTCTTCAGTCAAACACCTATTTGTCCTATTGTGCTTATCTCAACTAGGTGTTCAGAGGAAAGCAGTCTGATTGAACTAGTTCACACTAATGTATAAATAACAGCCCCATAATTTCTCAGAGATATTAAAAATGCATAAAGCATCAACTTTTAAAGAGAATATTCCTAACAGTACAGGAAAAAGATTAGGAGATAGGGGAACAACTAGTTATGTACCATAGGTTGTCCTGACTCCATCTAAATAGATCTTACTTTTCACTTTTTTATTTCTTCCACTTTCCCCCCATAGGTTTTCTAAAAACCCCACAGTTTTTCACAGTGGCAGGCAAAGTGAGGGCTTCAGCAAGGTAGGGGCAGGGGTGGGAGGAATTTTATGTGTGTCTGGGTTATTTGGAAGTTGGGTGTTGGGAAGAATGGCTCTGTGGTATATCCTTCTCACACTTCCATTTAGGAAGTTCTTGCCTTATGGACCTTTGTTGTGTCCATCTTTTTTCCTTCTCTCTGTCACTGTTATTTCTTTTCTTACTTTTGTATATGTGTCTCCTCCTTCCCTCAGGGAGGGAGCCCTCCATCTCAAGTGACACTCGAACAGATTCTTCAACGGAGAGCTATCCCTACAAACATTCTCACCATGAGTCTGTGGTCAGTCACTTCTCTTCTGATTCTCAGGGAACTGTCATCTATAATGTGGAGAATGATTCCTTGTCTCAGAGCAGTCGGGACACAGGTAGGGGCTTATGTAGAGGATCCTTTCCTGATTTAATTCCTGCTTAGAAGGTGTCCCAAGAGAAAGAAACTGGGGGAAGTCAGAAATGTCTGCCAAGTAAAGGCAGAAAGGGGTAGAATTTGAGTAGTTGAATGGAGTACGAAGAAGCAATCTAGTTCTGAATGAACAGTGATACTGTATCCCCCATACTTCTATCAACAGCAGCATATCAATAAGGACCATTGTAATGTGATTATTCTAAAGTTTGTTTTTCTAATGCTATTCTCCTAATTCCTGTTCTTCCCATAGTAACCCTTAAACCCTTGTGGTCTTACACTTAGTCATGTTCTCATGCTAGCTCTTGTCAGGAGTGAAGAGCTTTGAGAGAAAGGGCATACTATGGGATAGGGGAGAGATACCTGCTCAGCTTGCTAGGCTTCCTGAAGGTCAGAGAAGCAAAAGAATGAACGATTGCCTGAATGTTGCTGTAAGCTGTATCTATGCAGATAATATTCTTGAATTGTTTTGTTAAAATGTAGAGGAGTATGCCTGTGACAGTGGATGAAAGGAAAAACAAATGAATGATTGCTGAGATGAAGTTCTTTATGGGGAGTAAAACACCTAGACATAGAAGAGTGCCCATATTTTTAGGGAGTTTGGGAATTAGTGAGCTCATCATTTCAGATTGGTAGTTTATACTCTGTGTATTCCCCTCCCTTTTTTTTAGATCGAGAATTTTAAACATATTTAAAAGTACACAGAATAGTGTACTGCCCCTCTACTTTCCCTACTCCGAGGTTATTTTGAAGCAAATCCCAGGCATCATATCACTCCTTCTATAAGTACATTAGTGTTTATTACTCAAACATAAATTATTTTTCTAAAAGTAGCATTATAATACTTAAAAATAGCAATGATAGTTCCTTAAAACTCTAAGTAACCAAAGAGTATTCAAACATCCAATGATCTTATACATGCCATACCATTTTCATGGCTTTTTATGTTTGACTCAGTACCCAAATGAAATCTACTCATTGTGATGGGTTGATAAGTCTTTTACATTTATTTATTTATTTAATCTGTTTTTTCCTTGCATTGTATTGTGCTTTTTTTGTTTTTGAGATGGGTTCTTCCTGTGTTGTCCAGTATGGACTTAGAACTCTTGGGTTCAAAGGGTCCCCCAACCTGAGCCTCCTGGGTAGCTGGGATTATAGGCACATGCTACTATGCCTGGCTTTTTCTTCCCAAAATATTGTAGAAAAAATAGGTAGTTTGTCTCGTAGATTTCCCACATTCTGAATTTTTGCTGATTTCATTCCTATGGTATACTTTAACATGTTTGTCTGTCCTCTATTTCTTTTTTTTTTTTTGAGACAGAGCCTCAAGCTATCCCCCTGGGTAGAGTGCCATGGCATCACGCTCA